ACTTGCCAAAGGGACCAAACCTGAGTCTGAACCACTGTCTGAATACTGCTGCCAATTTGCAGAAAATTCCAAGGACAGAGGAGTATGCTGAACTGCAGTGCGAGTGTGCAATCAGCAAAATCCAGACTGTGGGAAGCTCCAGGTTAAATGGCACGGGTTCTTCAACAGATGCATTGTAAGGAAATGAAAGGGATAGAAGAGGAGTCTATAGATTAAAAGAGATTTAAAGATTTTAAAAAATAGACAAGGCTAAATGATGGATAGTTGGGTGATGAAATTATGAAAAGAAAAAAAGGGAAGATGTGATTACTGTAAGTCAGGATAGTGGTTATTTATGATACGAGAGGGGGGCTTGTGACTGGGATTGGTGCACGTGGAAGGGGCTTTTGGGGTGGCTGGCAAAGTTCTATTTCTTGGCCTGGGTGGTATTTACCTTATAATAATTCACTAAGCGTATACTTGATTTGCATGGTTTTCTGTATCTGTGTTTTCATTTACCATAAAAAGGTTTTTAAAAAATCAACCTAAAAGAGGCAGCATGGTGTGTAGATTCTTGTTATTCAACATGTGGTTCCTATAGACCAGCAACTTTAGCATCATTTGGAAACCTGTTAGAAATGCAGATCTTGGGTCCACCCCAAACCTACTGAGTCAGAATTTAAATTTTAACGATATCCCCAGGTAATTCACATGCACATTCAAGTGTGAGAAGCGCTGGTGCAGAGGACCTGGGTACAAGTCCTGGCTTGTTACTTATTGTGTAATGCAGGATAAGTCACTGCAGCTTCAGTTTCCTTATTTATAAAATGGAAGTGATAATTATCTTTTGAATTATGTAGTGTAAGAGTGCCAATTGTTTAACTGAAGAGATGGGAACAAGAAATCTCTGGAAGGATCCATTCATCAGCCCAAGGAGACTTGGAAATCTTGAGCCCATCTAGATTGTCCAAAGTTTACCTGGTCTACCAGAGGATCCGTCTAAAAACGGGACGTGCTACCCCAGGGGTCTGAATGGAGCCCCCCCAAAAGGGATCCAGGCAGGAAACATTTGCCCATTGCTCCAGCACTAAGGATTAGAGGCACTGTCTGGATGACCAGAGACTCTAGTGTTCTGCCCGGATAAAATTGCTGGGAATTTCTTTCGCTCAAATTCTCTGCTCACCAGCCAATCCTCTGGTAGGGAATTTGGATTTAGGGGAAAATCTAGATTTATCATCATCTATCTTAGAATTGAATCAACTCTGAACTAACTGATAAAGTTTCTAAACCTGCAAAGCTGAGCCCAGACTGGATCATGCACTCCAGCCAAAGCCCTGCCCTCTGTGCCAACATCTGTCCAGCATCCAGTCTCCTGCAGAAACATCAGGTCGAAATAATATTTCAAAATGATATATCATGGAACTTTTAAGATAAAGCATTTTAGATTTTTAAAAATAATTTTTTTAGAAATAAAAAGTACATCCCACTTTTTTTTTCCTTTTATTTCCTTGTGAGAAAGCAGGACCTTTCCTTTCATATGGAATGTTCTTTTCTCCCCATGCCTTGTGTAGCCGCTGCCTACCCAGCCTTCAGTGTCAGCTGTACAGTGCTTCACAAAATGGCCTTCCCAACTTCTAGATTAGATGAAGCCGTTCAGCCACACTGTGCTGGAGCGCCTTATGGAGATTGTGTAATGTCTGCTTTCCTCATTAGACTGTAAATTCCTTGAGGGAAGGGACTCTTCCTTTCTTTCATTTCTGTGTCCCAAGTGCCTGGTACAGTGCTTGGATCAGAGGCACTCAATACTGTTGACTTTGTCCAGTGGCAGGATCTGGGGGTGGTTATCCTTGGACCCAGCCTATTAGACTATTCTGTGCCTCAAGGGTAGTGATGCTCAACTTCCTGAAATGCATAAGGTATTCCAGCCCAACAAAGAAACTCCCAACCCAGAACGCCAATGGTGCCTTTCTCAAGAAATACCAGGAAACCTTTATGAAAGAAAAAATATCCTTTCAAAAATCCAACAAGTGTTCAAATAGGTATCACTCATTTGCTTACACACGTCTACTGTCTTAAGCACCAAAGAATTTTGATAGAAGTAGTTTTGAGAAGACCTTTGATCATAGCAAATCTTTTCTAGAGAAGTATTTAATGATCTTAGTCTCAAATATAAGGTTTTTCTTTTCTGTTTTCAATAAAATTATACTAAAGGCAAAAAAGAAGGAAAAAAGAAGAAAAATATGAAATACTTTTAATTAAATGTCCTTGGAAAAGAATGTCCTTAAAATATTTATGGACAAATATGTATGTCCTGAGGACCTATTAAGCCCAGGATCATCTCTTTCTCATATATTCTAAAGCCAGTGGATGTTTCTGTCAGATGACTGCTCAAATTGCTGACTCTCTCTGCTCTTCTAGGGCTTTTTCCCCTCGATAGTAACTGTATTTGAAAAGGTCCACTAGAGTTGGTTTGGTTGTATTAGATGACTTTGAGCCAGTTGGCCTTTGAAGCATCTGGACCTGACTTTGGGCCTCTCGTCAAAACTTAATTCTGAGTTTTCTCTCCTTTTAAGAGGAAATCTGGGAAGCCTTTTGTTGCATATAATTTACTCAGGACAAGGTCCACGTTTTAAATTAAGGGTTTACACTGCTGCCCTATTGTTTCATCCTTCAGGAGGGACTCTCTGCAGTGGTAAAGGAAAGCAACATTTGGACCTGGAGGCACATCAAAGGAGGGACCAGATCACTCCAGAACAGTGGGAGCTGATAGTTGAACAAATTTCTTTGGCTCAACCAACGTATTCTGATTTCAATGACTTAAACTGGCCTTGCTCCTTGTAAGTAGGCTGCAGCACATTGACCCCAGGGAGATGCTTCCACGAAGACCTGAAAAACATGGGACTTAGGTGTGAATAGTATGGAGGAAGACAAAGTTTTTAAAGAGGAGAAGCCCACCATGGGATGTAAATGCCTGAGCTCCCCCGCCATGGCCTTCCAGTCCCAGTGCCTGACCCTCAGCGCCATCTCATCGATGTTGGTTAGCAACACAAACCAACTCCTGTGCATGTTTCTATAGCTCATTGAGGGCTGTCCCCTGGCCGTAGTAAGCAATGTCACCTTTCTTCAAGAAGAAGTGCCAGGAAGGAGTCGTGACCAAGTAGGTAGCAATGGGCTATGAATTACCTCTACTGCCCCTTCAGTGATGTCTTCTGCAAGACTCTTCCCAGAAATTTGCCGCAGCTGGTTTTGTAAATCTTCAAGTCTGAACACCCAGAAGTTTACACATCTCTATGCCTCTTATGAGTTGTAGAATACTCTCGTAATTCCTAGAAAAAGAGGTGAAATGCACACAGTGAACTCTGAAGAAGGATCCATGGGAACCTGGTTTCTGATTTCAAGCCTTGGTATGTGGCTCTCATCTTGGCCCAGTAAATTGACACATCCCTGAGCCAACAGTTCTGAGGAATCTTCCATGGCACATCAGCTGTGTAGGAAAGGAACCCATTCCCATCACTGTGAAGCACTATTTCTGCTCTTACGATGGATCTTACCAGCAGGCAGGCAGCACAACTAGCAATACAGCTCTTGAACTTCTCCATGGTGAGCTGCAATAACATGGATGAGGTTTGGTAGAGATCGATGATCAAAACAGAGGCTACCATAAAAGTCCTTTGATCTCTAAAGGGTGTACTTGTGTCTCTGGAAATCTCCCCTTTGCAGCCCCAAGTTTTGATTTTCTGTGATTCTTTTTTGGTTTGATCGTATAGAACTACATGATACACAAGATCAAAATAAAATAGGTAACCCCAAGCCAAATCTGTAGCAAAAAAATTAGGGGCATCTTGACTTCATGGACACATATCATATCCAAGACAGAAAGAAGAGAAGAGAAGAGGTCACCATAAATGTAGTTAAAAATTCATTCCTCCTGCCAACAAACACTGATGCAGCCTCTTCAAAATGAAGTATGACAGCCATTTCTGGCAGTCGACACTAATTAATGTTTATCACGGGAGTAGAAATCTGAGATAAGAACAGAAAGCAGTTCTCCTGATGGTGATTTTCCCTAGGTGTATCCTGTGCTGCCTCGAAGATGGTGATGCCAGAGCAGAACCTTCATGACACAAGTCTTGGAGATGCCAGTCCCAGGAACAGACTCCAGAGAACCAGAATTCTGAGGGATAAAGACACAGCAATGCCCTGGATGGGGAACCAGCAGGCTTCCTTCATTTTGCTTTCACAAAATTTTGCTTTCCTTCATCTGCTTTCTCAGCCTTGGTTACCCATCCATAAGAAGAGGGGGCACTGGACTAGGTGGTTACTAAGGGCCTGTTCAGATATAACATTCTATGAGCTCTATAATTGGGAGCTTTCTAACAATCTTTTGCTCACTGAAAAATTCTGCACCTAGCAGATTGCCTGAAAGATAGAAGCTGCTCAATAAATATTTGTGGAATAAATGAATGAACTAGAACAATGTTTTCAAAACCTTCTGTTTTTCAAACACCACCAATTTTTATCACTTCTGCAGACTTAATATTTTTCTTTGAAACAACTATTTTTTCTTATATGAATTTGTTTTCAAAGAAATCTATCACCTGCCATAAATAAAGTAAGATTTCTAAGAATCCCTCAGTCAAATGTCCCTTTATACACCTAAAGCTTCCCAACACCCAGCACACATTTAATAATGTTTTCCTGTCTCTCAGGAAAAAGATGGGCATAAATTGTGATGGTTCTCAAGTCAAACTAAAATATATATGTACCTTTCTCAGAATGATAAATGTTACATCATTGCAACAAATGAACCACGTAGTGTTCGCAAAGTTTCTGTCAGAAATTTTAGCTCAAAAACTGTGCTTTCTTACTGTTTAAGGTGGCTACTAAATAGCAGAGAAAGACCTGCCCATTTAACCTGTCTGAAATGAAATAAAGGAATAATGCCCGGAAGTTTGTTAATGCCTCAGATGTTATAAAAAGAACCAGGACCCCTCCGCCGCATTTTGAAGCAGATTGCAGACAAAACTATCTTTCCCCTCCAAGTCGGTGAAAGGTCTAGATCTGTTCAGTGTGGCAAAAGAACAAAAACAAACCCTCTTCCAAGGAAAGAGCTGAAACCAATGAGGTAATACTTGACTTTTGTAAAACACTGTTTTGGATGGAGACTAAAGGGCAATAGAAACCCCTTTAACTGGTCTCTAGATCTATTGGGGTCCTGATATTTCCACCTCATTGCTTATTTTAAAAGAGTTAAAATGCAGGTCTAGCCTAGAGAAAGTAAAATTATCTCTGACTTTGGCAAGTGCCAAAGTTAGAAACCATTAAAAAGAAATATAGTAAGAACCAAATAGGGTACTAATTTCTTAAACTACAAACTTTAAATTCCAATGAAATACAAGTGATAAATTAATTAACAAAAATGCATACCTGAAAATCAGTGCCTTAAGAGCAGACCGGAACTGTTTTATGATTAGTCAATATTAAAGAAATATTCAGGGCCGGCCCCGTGGCTTAGCGGTTAAGTGCACGCGCTCCACTGCTGGCGGCCCGGGTTCGGATCCCGGGCGTGCACCGACGCACTGCTTCTTCGGCCATGCTGAGGCCGCGTCCCACATACAGCAACTAGAAGGCTGTGCAACTATGACATACAACTATCTACTGGGGCTTTGGAGGAAAAAAATAAATAAATAAATAAATAATTTAAAAAAAAAAGAAATATTCATTTCAATATTAGCTTTTTTTAAAAAGATGAAGATAAATTCTTCCTCAATAACCCAATTCCAATTTTCAGTTTTGATGTTAACTGGATTGGAGAATCTCAACTCACATGTGTACATTCAGCAAGAACAAAAGGCATTTGCCCATTTCCAGGCTTGGAGCCCGAGAATTAATTACTAACCAAAAACGATGTAAATGACTTTTTTTCCAAAAAAGTTTTATTCCGAGAAGCTCTCTGATAGGGCTTCTGGTTAAAAAGATGGCAAGTAAATCTTGTCTTCATCGTCTCCTCTTCTCTAGACTCCACTAAAAGGATAGTAAAGGAATAAAAAACAATATAAAGGGGCTGGCCTGGTGGCGTAGTGGTTAAGTTCACATGTTCTGCTTCAGCAGCCCAGGGTTCGCAGGTTCAGATCCCAGGTGTGGACCTACACACCGCTTATCAAGCCATGCTGTGGCAGGCGTCCCACATATAATGTAGAGGAAGATGGGCACGGATGTTAGCCCAGGGCCAATCTTCCTCAGCAAAAAAACAAAAAAACCCACAATATATAAATGCACAAGGACCAAGGGACCCAAAGAGGAGACATCAGTGAACAAGAGGCTACAAGAACATTCTTGAAGTTAAAAGCAGATGTGTACAGAGGAGTGATCACTAATTCAGCAGATGACCCATTCAAAAGACAGTTCACTCAACGGTGTTACATCCTCCTGTGCCACAGTACGAGATAAATCCCTAGGAAAGAACTAACAGCATAAGCATATCATTTAGAAACAGGGAGTTAAATATGTGGGGGGGCGTCAGCCAAGCCAGTGGAAAGAGGCTCTCTGTAGAGCAGGACTCAGGGATGAGAAAGATAGGGCAGAAACTACTGGGGTTTGTTCTGAGTGTATTATTTCATTCTGAGTGTATTTATTCTGAGTGTAGAACTATGTTTCTTTTCAAGCTCTGTATCATTTTATTTTGCAATATTTAAATACTTTTTTTTTTCAGTTACAGGAAGGTAGATTTTGGGGAAGACTGCTTAGAGCTCCCCCACAGGGTGGCAAGGAAAGGAGTCCCTGTATCCCCAGAGACATTCAGCATTGGCTTGTCAAAAACGTGGAGGAGCAGAGTTAATCTTGAGCACCTAGTGTATGCCAGGCACTCTCTCTAAACGTCATCTAACGTGTTGCCCCATCAACATTTGGAGAGCTGAGCCTTAGAGAGTTAAACTTGCCTGAGGCCAAGTGGCTGGTAGAAAACACAGGTCTGTTGACCCTAGAGCCAGAGGTTTTCCCACCCATCATAAGGCCTCCCCATCGCAGAGATTCACTCAAGCCTTCCCGGGCATTTGTGCACCACGACGTTTTCCTCCAGCACCTGGATGAGATCAGGAGGTGGTGTGATTCAGGTGAAAGGTGTAGGCGCCCTTGGGAACAGGACGCACCTGCGTGGAGCACCGTCGCAGAAGGTGGGGACAACACTGGCCTAAGTCTCTCTTTTCCACAGGGGCTGGGTCTCTTGGGTACCTCCCCAGGATCCTTCCAGCTTCTCCAGACGGTTTTACCAGCTGTTTGCTCGGCAGTGGCCGGGGCGGGAGGAGGAGGGTGGAAGATGCCTAATATGATGAAACACTGCCAGATGACATCAGAATGGCTGCACCAGGCTACTCTCCCACCAGCAATGAATGAGGTTTCCATAGTCCCACGATCCTCTCAACACTTATTATTCAGTTTATTTTTATTTATTTTTTGCCTGTTTAACAGGTATGAAGTGATATCATTGTTTTGTTTTCCTAATGATCAATGACATTGAACATACTTTATATATTACCTTCCATTGGGCTTTGAGGTTTCCTCTTCTGTAAATTGCCTGTTTTCAGACAATTATCTGTGATGGTTTTAAAATATGTCAATAAACTATTTGATACTCCGTTCTTTAAGAAGTGGAGCTGCCTTCCCAAGACCTTCTGTGTCCACTGGACTTAGTAAGTTGAGGAATTTCCCTTCTATTCCTAGTTTGCCAAGAGCTTATATCATCATCAGTATGTGCAGTACTTTATCAGATGTTTGTTCCACGTCAATTTTGACTTTTTGTATTTTTATGTCATTTTCATCTGCATTTTCAAATTTAACAGCATATACCTCTTCTAATTCTTTTATAATCTTTTAAATCTCTATTGTGTCTACAATGATTTCTCCTTTTTTGTACTTTTTTAGTTTTAGTTTTTTGGTAGCTTCTCTCTTTTTTTCTGTCTGTTTTGGTAATGGTCTATCTACCTTAATAGTAATCTTTTCAACAAACCAGCTTTGGATTTTGTTCACATTCTCTTTTGTAAGTCGTTGCTCTCTATTTCATCTTAGTCTTTTATTCCTTCTTGTTTCTTTGAGTTCGTTCTGTTGGTCTAAGTATTGCTTTGGCTGTGTCCAATTTTAACCTGTTATGTTTTCATTATCATTCAGTTCTCAGTATTTCTTAATTTCCTTTGTAACCCAAGTGTTACCTAGTAATTTATTAGTTTCCAACAATACAAGCTTTAACCTATCTTTTTGTGTGGTTCAACATACAAAAATCAATAAATGCAATATATCGTGTTAATACAACGAAGGAAAAAAGTCACATGACCATCTCAATTGATACAGAAAAAGCATTTGACAAAATTAAACACCCTTTCATGATTAAAAAAAAAAAACACTCTGGGCCAGCCTGGTGGCATAGTGGTTAAGTTCTCATGCTCCTCTTCGGCAGCCAAGGGTTTGCAGGTTCAGATCCCGGGCACGGACCTATGCACCACTTATCAAGCTACGCTGTGGCAGGCGTCCCACATATAAAGTAGAGGAAGATGGGCACAGATGTTAGCCCAGGGCCAATCTTCCTCAGCAAAAAGAGGAGGATTGGCAACAGACATTCACTCAGGTCTAATCTTCCTTACAAAAAAAATTTAAAAATTTTTAAAAAACCGCTCAATAAACTAGGTACAGAAGGAAATTTATGCAACATGATAAAGGACATTTATGAAAAACCCACAGCTAACATCATACTCAGTGGTGAAAGACTGAAAGCTTTTCCCCTAAGATCAGGAAAAAGACAAAGATGCCATGACACTTCTGTTCAACATAGAGCTGGAAGATCTAGCCAGAGAAATTTGGCAAGAAAAAGAAAGAAAAGCCATCAAAATTGGAATTGAAGAGGATATCTAGAAATTATATCTAGAAAACCCTAAGGAATTCACCAAAAAAACCTGTTAAAGCTAATAAATGAATTTAGCAAAGTTGCAAGATACAAATTCAACACACAAAAATCAGTTATATTTCTATACCACTAGCAATGGGCAATCTGCAAAGGAAATTAGGAAAACAACTCCATTTACAATAGCATCAAAAAGAATAAAATACTTAGGAATAAACGTAACCAAAGAGGCACAAGACTTGTACACTGATAACTACAAAACATTACTGAAAGAAATTAAAGACCTAAATAAATGGAAAGATTTTCATTCATGGATTGGAAGACTTAATATTGTTAACTTGACAATACTGCCCAAAGTGATCTATAGATTCAATGCAATCTCTATTAAAATCCCAATGGTATTTTCTGCAGAAATAGAAAAACTCATCCTAAAACTCATATGTAATTTCAAGAGACCCAGAATAGTCAAAATAAACCCAAAAAAGAACAAAGTTGGACTCACACTTCCTGATTTCAAAACTTACTGCACATCCACAGTAAACAAAACAGTGTAGCACTGCATAAAGATAGACATATAGATAAATGGAAATTTATCTATAATTGAAAGATAAATTTGGCAATTGTTGCTTAAAAAATATGACACCAAAAGCACAAGGCAACAAAAGAAAAAATAGACAAATTGGACTTCATTAAAATTAAAAACTTTTGTGTATCAAATGACACTATCAAAAGAGTGAAAAGATGACCCACAGAATGGAGAAGGTATTTGCAATCATACATCTAATAAGAATTTAATATCCAGAATATAAAGTACTCCTACAACTCAACAACAAAAAGACAAACAACCCAATTAAAAAATGGACAAAGGACCTGAATAGACATTTCCCCAGAGAAGATACACAAATGGCCAATAAGCACATGAAAAGATGCTCCGCATCACTAATCATTAGGGAAATGCCAATCAAAACCACAATGAGATACTACCTCATACTCACAGGATGGCTACAAACAAAAAGACAAGAAATAACAAGTGTTGGCGAGCCTGTGGAGAAATTGGAATCCTCAGACATTGCTGGTGGGTCTGTGAAACGGTACAGCCTCTGTGGAAAACACTTTGGTGATTCCTCAGAAAGTTAAACATAGAATTACCAGATAAGCCAGCAATTCCACTCCTAGGTAAATACCCAAAAGAAGTGAAAACAGAAACTCACACAGATACTTTTATGCCAGTGGTCATAGCAGTATTATTCACAATAGCCAAAAGGTGGAAACAACCCAAGGGTCCATCAACAGATGAATGTGTAACAAAATGTTGTATATACATACAATGGAATGTTATTCAGCCATAAAAACGAATGAAGTTCTGACACATGCTACAACATGTATGAACCTTAAAAACATGCTAGATGAGATAACCCAGACACAAAAGGGCACATGTTGTATGATTCCTCTTATATGAAATATCCAGAATAGGAAAATCCATGGAGACAGGAAGTAGATTAGAGGTTACTAGGGGCTTGGGAGGAGGGGAGAATGGGGAGTTATTGCTTAATGGATATAGAGTTTCTGTTTGGAGTGATGAAAATTTTGGAAATAGAGTATGGTGATGGTTACATAACATTGTGAATGTGATTAATGCTACTGAATTTACACTTTAAAATGGCAAATTTTATCTTATACATACTTTACCACAGAAAAAATAGTACAAAAAAAAAGAAGTTGGCATCACATATAATTGCAAAGCTGGCAATAAAGGCCCTTAATTCTTTTATAAAATTTTTTTAAAGAAATGCTGTATAACCAGTGCTCTTGATAGCATAGAAGAAGATTTTATGTGGAAAATCACAGACAGTGACAATCTTGATGAAAAGTGATTTAGAATAACTGGACTCTGAATGTGCAAAAGTTTTAGGAGTATCTTAACCAATATATTTTCCTGCTGGTAAATGGATAAATAAATTGAGGTATGCCCATACAATGAAATACTACTCAGCAATAAAAAAGGAAAAACTATCAACACATATAAAAACATGGATGAACTTCAAAATTATTATGCTGAGTGAAATAAGCCATACACAAAAGAATGCAAACTATATGATTCTATTTATACAAAATTCTATATATAAAACTAACCTCTAGAGACAGAGAGCAGGTCAACGGTGGTCTGGGGATGGAGGAGGAGTTAAGGGTGGATTACAAGGGACAGGGAGAACCTTTGCGGGTGATGGAGATCTTCATTATTTGATTATAGGGATCGTTTCACAGATGTGTACTTACGTCAAAACACTTTCAATACGTGCAGCTTGTAGTATGTTAATTATACATCGTTAAAGTTGTAAAAAGTGATTTCCTGTTCTTGCTTTATATTTTCAAATGCCTTATTTTCCTAAGTGTGTTTACCATGCATATTCTTGGCCAGTCTCGTCCAGTCATTTCGCTTCAGATGGTAGATGTTTGTCCTCCTTTTACTGTGGTTGCGCTCCTCAGGGGTCTCATTAGTTTGGTCTATGAGCTCATGTCTCCCCTGGGATATCAGCTCCTCTGTATGGTAGTATTTTGGGGGAAGATTTGAGGACCAGGTGCTAGTCTATGTCTCTCCTGCTGGGTGTAAGGAGAGAGGAGGGAGTAAGGCCCAGGTCAGAGAACCCCAGGACCCACAGAATCACTCTTGATCCCTCTGGTTTAATACCACCTTTCCAGGTGGGATTAATCCTCTGCTCAGGGATTTGTCCTTAAATTTATAGTAAGCAGCAGCCCTGGGAGGCAGCAGTCTCTAGGGTATAATCTCTAGCTCCATTGTATTTTCTTCTCATTAGGGCTTTTTGCTTTCCTGATAGGCTGACCCATGTGGCCTGCCTGTGCTGCTGGTTTCTGATGGGAAGGGGCAGGCTGTGGTTATCCCAAGACAATCCCAAGACAACACCGGGTGATGCAATTGCCGACCTTAAAGGCCTTTCCTCCAGCCTCTTCTCTCTCTGCTCCCTCCATCAGCTTCCCTCCAGGCTGCGGGCACCCCCCTCCTTGCTCCCAGGTGCACACACCAGCTCCAGACAGATTTCTGTTTCCCCAGAGGCCTCTCCTTATATTTTGTTTTCCAAGTTCCTCAACTCCATCCTTCCATTTCACTTTAATAATTTCTCCAGAATGGATTTTGAGGGAGAGAGAAAACCCAGTGTTGGTTTACCATCTTAATAGGCACCCCATAATTTATTTGATCTGATTTAAAACCATTTAATATTCTTTGAAAGGTAGTCTAGATCTGAAAATCAGGTTCTGAACATTGTAAGAAAATACTAAAGACAATAAGAACTACAGAAAAGTGAAAAATAATTTGCAGATTCAAAAGTTCTGCTGATTTTTGCCAGAAAAATAAAGAACTTTTAGATTCATTTTGATAAATACTTTAGAACTATATCCATCTGAGTTAGCATCTCGTGAATGTGAGTGACTGACCTTACGGTGTTCTGAGTGACGGGAAAACTGAACTATAAAGAATTCTACATAAGTTAAAACGGTATCTTAATCTAGTGCGGGTTGCATTTAACAAATCCCACTGGCCTCCAGGCTGTATTCTGAGTGTACTAAGATTTTTCCTGCCTTGGGGTCTTTGAACTGACTGTTCCATTTGCCTGGAACACACTTCTTCCAGATTGCCACAGGTCTTGCTCCTTCTCAGTACTTAGGACTATCCTCAAATTTCACCTTTCTAGGGAGCTCCATGACCACCCTATTCCCAAAAACCCCATGTCCAACCCCAATCACTTTTGAACTCATGTGCCTTGTTTTTCTTCACAACACTAATCTCCATATGAAATTGTTTGTCTATCAGCTTACTTATTTATTTTCTGTCTTTTCCCATACAAAGCTGGGAGCTTCTCCCATCTTGTTAACAAGGTACAGATCCCCAACACCCGGGATAATATAATACTTGGTACAGGGTAGGCTTCCGTAAATAATTGTTAAATAGATGAATAATCCCCTGTGCATTGCTGCTTCTATCAGTTATCGATTGCTGTGTAATATTCTACCATGAAACTTGGTGGCTTACAACAATGACGATCTATTATTTCTCACACTTCAGTGCATTGATTGGGTCTGCCGGGCTCACCTGGGATCACCCAGGCAGCTGCAGCCAGCTGGCGGCTGGTCTGGCGAGGCGTGGTCTAAGATGGCCTTGCCCACATGTCCGGGGCCTCAGCTGAGGCAGCTGGACCTCTCCGCATGGTCTTTCAACCTGGGCTTCAGTTCTGGATGCAGAAGCCTTCCAAGAGGGCAAAGGTAGATGCTGCAAGGTCTTGAGGTCTAGGTTCCGGAACTCCTCAATCACTTCCACCATGTTCTCTTGGTCTAAGCAAGACATGAGGCCAGCCCAGGATCAAAGGGTGGGGAAATAGACTCCATCTCTTGATGGGAGAAGCTGCAAAATATTATGACCCTGCTTTTCCGTCTACCACATTGCTCCAAAGTTCCTAGTTTGCAAACAGCAAGAGAGTTATAGGAATCATCCACCATCGCCCAGCCCAGCGCCAGGCACCAGTGAATGAATGAATGTCATCACTGATTCCACACCCTTCCACATGGTACTGCTTCTCTAGGCACATTGGCCTATACTGCCCCCTAGTGGAATTTGAGAAATGATACTTCTCGCCTGGGCTTGGGGATAGGTCCTTTCTTGAAAGATTGAGCCGTAGGATTCCAGGTTACAGATCAGGGCAGTGGTTCCTAAACTTTAGCATAGGGCGAAGTATATAGGGATCTTATCAAGAACAGAAGATTCTGACAACCATTTTAAGAATAAATCTGACAACTGATTAAAAAAAAAAAGAACAAAAGAATCCTGGGCCCCATCCCAGTAAGCTCAGTCAGCCTGAATAGGTCCCAATTCACTGAGTCCTGGGCTTTTATTTAGGTTTTGTGATGCGTGGGTGTTGGAGGGTGAAGCTGCGTGTGGGGAACAGGACCCTAGGTTTCAGGGCAGAGACATGCATTGGAAAACAGCTCTGCCTCTATCTATGCAACTTTGGGAAATTCCCATTATCTCTTTGAGTCTCAGTTCTCTCATCTGTAAAATGGGGTTAATAATAGCTATCTCATAGGGTTGTTGTGAGATTAGAAAGAGGGGCTAGTTATGGCACATAACAATTAGGCCCTAAGTCAGTAAGTGGGGGTTAGTACTATTGGTGTGATACAACAGACAAAGTTCTGTGAAAGTGTATAGTGTCTAACAGATGTTCAGCAACCATTAGCAGAATTTACATACTATAAGCACCAGAAGAGCAAGAATCATATCTGTTCATTATTGATTACCAGGCTCTAGTGTGTTGAAAATGGCATATAGTTGGTGCTTGACAAATAATTTTTTAATGAATGAATGAAGTTCTCGTATCCTATCTCTATCAATGTGAATGTTTGCTTTCCAAGTATATATTCCCTTATCAGCACTGATCATAGCAGAAGTTTAGGGTGTGTGTGTGTGTGTGTCTTTTATTTTAAGTCTTCCAAGGACTTCCAGACACATTTTGTTTTGTGTACACCTCAACACTGACTAATCTGCCAGGGGTCAAGTTGTTTTTAGAAACGTTCTTTCTAGTGTGGCATAGTGAAAAGGATACCAGCCTTGAAGACAGAAGACCTTGGTTCAAATCACGGTTTTGACTAGTAGTGTTGCTTTAGGCAAGTCAATCGCTCTTGCTGAGCCTCACTTTCCCCACTTGGAGCATGAGGGAGTTGTTGCCGAGGATCCATCCTGCTGTAAGGTGTTAGGATTCTGTCCATCTAATCCAATGTTTTAAATATGCCCTTTATTATATAAGTAATAAACATCCATTGCAAAAAAATTGAAAAATACTAAAAAGAATAAATAAGAAAGTAAAAATCACTGCTAAGGGGGCCCACCCCAAGGCATAGTGGTCAAGTTTGGTGTGTCCCCCTTCGATAGCCTGGTTCACAGGTTCAGATCCCGGGCACGGACCTATACTACTCATCAGCCATGCTGTGGCAGCAACCCACATATAAAAAGTGGAGGAAGGTTGGCACAAATGTAAAATCACTGCTAAGACCAATCACCCAGAAAACCACTGTTAACATTTTGGTGAATATTCTAGTCCTTTTTATATCTCTGAATAATTTTAAGCAAAAATATTGGAATGGGGATGCATATACTGTTTTGCAGTATGCTTTTCTCACTAAATGTAATATCAGAATTTTCATATTGTTAATGTAGTAGTCTATCGTGTGGATGAATGGGTTATAATTCATTTAAACAACTCCCTGTTGTTGGATAAACAGGTTGGTTCCATTTTTTAACATTACAAATAAGGCTTTTATGGCTAGGCTTTTATATAAATCTGTACCCGCATCTCTGAATTTTCCCCCTGAAGTTAAACTTGTAAAGCTTTTGAGATGTATCACCAAATTGCCCTCCAGAAAAGTTGCACAAATTTACACCCTCATTAGCAACATTTGAAAGTGGCCATTTCCCCATTATCTCTGGGTCATTGGCTACTGTGGTTTAAAACAATCTTTGCCAATGTCACAGATGAAAAATAGTATATCATTGTTTTCATCTAATGTTATTTTTGTCATATCATTTTATTCTAGTAGAATGTAAAATTGCATGGACAATATTTTTACCACTTTGTAAAAATACATGTATGTACCAAGCGAGGGAGGAACCACAGAGAAATGTCAGTAGTTGTATGATGGGATTGTGATATAATTCTATTATTATAATTTTTGTGTGTGTATGTGAGGAAGATTGGCTCTGATCTAACATCTGTTGCCAATCCTCCTCTTTTTTTTGCCGAGGAAGATTAGCCCTGAGCTAACATCTGTACCCATTTTCCTCTATTTTATAAGTGGGACACACCACACATGGCTTGGTGAGCAGTGTGTAGGTCTGTGCCTGGGATACGAACCTGTGAACCCGGGCTGCCAAAGTAGAGCACGTGAACTTAACCACTGTGCCACTGGGCTGGCCCTTAAATGTTTTTTAATTAAAAAAAATCTCTGTAGGAAATGGCTACTTGTTCCCCCAAACCCCTCCTCTTCCTCTTCCTGGGCAGAGTGGAAACTACATTTCCTAGTCTCCCTTGCAGCCTGATGTGGCCATGTGGTTAAGTCTGGACTAATAGGATATAAAGGGAAGTGATACGCACACTTTCTGTGTCACCTCTAACTTAAGCTCTTTATCTTAGATGCTGGCTCTTTCTTCTTTCCCAGGAGTAGCAACCCAGCTTTAATTAAGCAAATGATTATACCCTAGGGGATGACAGAGCAACAAGGAACCCCATACTGCAGAGTCATCTCACCCACCTAGCCTGGCTGTTCTGTTTTTTTGTTTTTTGGTGAGGAATATCGGCCCTGAGCTAACATCCATTGCCAATCTTCCTCTTTTTGCTGAGGAAGATTAGCCCCAAGCTAACATCTGTGCCCACCTTCTCTATTTTGTATGTGGGATGCTGCCACAGCATGGCTTGATGAGTGGTGCGTAGGTCCATGCCCAGGATCTGAACCTGCAAACCCCAGGCTGCTGAAGTGGAGCATGTGAATTTAACCACTACGCCACCGGGCCAGCCCCCTGTTCTGTTTTTTAAGAGAGAAATTAATTGATGATGAGGTTGGGCCACTATATTTGAGAGTCTCTTGCTACAGCAGCTTAGCTGTGACCCTAACAAATACAACTTCAAACTTTCCCCTAAGACTGAGGACATTTTGGAGACCATTTCACAGTTCATGGAGCTGATAAGAGGCTGGTAGCAGAGGATTTTACAGAATACCATAAAATATTGGTCTTTTATATTCCTTCATTTGAAGTATGATTTAACAAAAATTATATATTTAGTATATTTAAAGTTTAGAAACAATACATATAATCTAAGTGATTATTATAACTTATAGTTTAAGTTATAATAAATAATCAATATAATCTAACTGTATATAGAACCCAATACAAAAATCAGAACTATGAGCATACAAAAAAATAATCTGCCAATAAACATCCTCACCTGGGGCTGAATTATTTCCATTAATTTTTAATTTTTGTTGAAGAAGATTTGCCCTGAGTTAACATCTGTGCCAATCTTCCTCTGTTTTGTATGTGAGTGGCTGCCACAGCATGGCACGCCGATGAGTAGTGTAGGTCTATGCCGGGGAAGCGAACCCAGGCTGCTGAAGTGGAGCACGCCAAACTTAAACACTAGGCCATGGGGCCAGCCCCTCCACTAATATTTTGAAGGCAGTATGTTCATCACTGGTTTTGCTACATTGTGGATTCTTAATGGCAATGATTGCAGTATACATGATTATGACAATAGAAAGCATACATTAAAAAAAAAGAGATGCACCCATAAGGCTATCAGCTGATTTCTCAGCAGAAACCTTACAGGCTAGAAGAGAGTGGCATGATATATTTAAAGTGCTAAAAGGAAAAAACCTACAGCCAAGAATACTCTACCCAGCAAGGTTATCGTTCAAAATGGAAGGAGAGATAAAAAGTTTCCCAGACAAGCAAAAATTAAAGGAGTTTGTCACCAAGAAACCAGTACTACAAGAAATGCTAAAGTGAATTATTTAAGGGGAAAGAGAAGATCACAAATAGGAGAAATTATCTATTTCCATGATAAGAGGGTAATTATGATATCAAAAACATAAAATGTGGGAGGAGGGCAGTTAAAGAGTAGAGCTTTCAGA